CCGGCCCCTCGGGCCCCCCCCGGTCTCGCCGCCTCCTGCCTTCCGGCGATGGTCGGGGACGGCGGGGACCCCGGCTTTCAGAGGGGACGCCGTGCACTTTGTCAGGGCTCGGTTCCGAGGAGCAGGCGGCGCCTGCCGGGGCCCTTCGGGCTTTCGCGGGGGACTCGGCGCCCTTGCCGGGGGCGGCTCCCGGGAGCGGGTCGTGCCTGCTGCTTCGAAGACCGGTGCAGCCGGCAAGAAAGCGGCGACCTGCTTGGAGTACTTTTGATTAATTGCCATTTGCTTGGGCTGCCTTCCTGAGTTAGTGCTTTTTCCCCCTCTGCTGTGGGGCATCAATGCCCACACGCGTTCCGCTCTCCAACTCTTGAACGGAGGGTGTGTTTAGACGCCTGGGGGTATTGGGTCATTTTTGTCTGGGCCATGGAACCTGCGTCGAACGTTCTGGCTCGAGGGGCCTGCTAGTTTTGAGTCGTGCCTTTCACCTGAAGAATCGCATAGAAGAGCGTTTGAGAAATGAGAGGGACAGGAGCAGTTGGCCGGCTTGTCCCCTCGCCAGGGCAGGTGGTCACTGTGTGTTGTGCAAAGGGTGGCGTGCTGCAATCTACTAACCACAGCAGTGAGTAATCACACCAGACACACCGTGGACTTGAGGGCGGAATTCTAGATAAGATTTGGTGGGGTTCGTGCCTCTTTTTTCTAGCCGTGTAACAGATCTGTGTTTTGAGTTCATCAGCATGAACTCATCAAGCATTTAACGTTCTTGCTCTCTGACCTTTGACGTCTTACTGGGCTAATTGACTTGAAGAGTGGGTTGACTCCCATGTGTGCTGACATGTAATCACTGCAAGAAAAAATAGGAGTGGCCCGCAGGAAGGTGGCCGTCTCCTTGGAAGTGCACTCTGGCCTTCTGAAGCATCTTTTATGGCAGGGGCGGCTTTGCCCAGGCAGGGCTGTGCTGAGTCCTGCCTCAGTGCAGCCTCTCCTTCGCTGAAGAGACAGTGAATGTTCATAGCTCACAGCTGCTTAGCAAGACCCCGCACTCTTCTCGGTTTCGTATAAATAAAAGCTCATCCCTGTCCGCTAAGTAAGCAAGAGCCAGGATGTTACATTTTGAATAGAAGATCCCAGCCTAAAAACCTGCTCGTGGTTTGCACATTCCTCAAATCTAGAGAAAAGTCAGATTTTTAGCTTCTGGCTTCTGGTTGTCTTGTGTGTTGAGGAGACTAGAGCCTGGAATGATGATAACGGTAGATTTTACACTAAGACAGCAATTTGTAGTAAAAGGGATGTCTCTATGTCATTGTTTGCTTATTTCTGACAAGAACCTGAGACCATGAGCACGCATTGTTGTTTTCCTTATCTGCACTTATTTAGAGTGACTTGCTTTTTTCCTCCGCTGGATTATGGCCTCCTGACTTGTAGGAACTGTGTTTCACCTCTCCTCGTAGCTCAGATTCCTAGGGCAGCACCTGCGTGTGGAACGCAACACTTGGGTTAAGGGATGAATTTGGTTAGACGGCAGGACCTGCACCGAGTACAGGTACACTGGTGACACTGCCAACTGCCTAGAGGGCAAGATGGCCAGCCCGGTGTGGTGAGGAGAGGTGGAGTGTCTTCCTGCCCGCCCTGCTTCTGGGCTCTGTGAGGCCAGGGACGCAGAGGCTCTCTCGGAGGACAGTTACCCGGCTTTCTAAAATCCTTCTTGGGTTTTGCTTTACTTGCGCTGTTTGATACTCAGCATGTGTGGTCACTTTAAGCATCAGTTTCTTTTACTGAAACTTCCAAGAATGTTTGGGAGGTTTTCGTGTCAGGCCAAGATCATGCAGTGGTTGGCAGAAGGCCGCAGCTGAGCTGGGTCTCTCTGACTCACACCCGCTGGGCTTCACGGAGCCGGTGCCCAGGCTGGAAAGCGACTCAGGCATTGACAGTTGTAGCGTTGGGTTTAAACACATAAGTCTGTGGGTTTTCTCCACCGCCTCATGGCAGCGAGTAAGGAGAAAATGTAAAAAGTGGTACAGTAATGACATAGAAGGCTTTTTTTTCCCCAACTCTGCTTTGTTTCAGAAAGAAATGAGACTGCTTAAAGTAACGAATACGGCATAATAAGATTCAACATAATTAACTAATTTGGAGGAAAAGAGGATAAGGATGGGAGAAACAAAACCCATGATAAAAGCCCTGGACACAGAAAAAAGAAGTGGGCCCCAGGGTTGACATGGAGTTTCCTAGCAGCCTGTGCAAAAAGGGAATCAGTTGTGTAGTCCATGGCAACTGTCTGGCAGCTTAGAAGCACAACTCTTTCTTGGGGTGTTGTCAAAGAGGATACAGTGAGATGCAGTAAATTATGCCCCATCATTAGTTGGGCTGCTTCTTATAACTGTATATACGTATCTAGGCCTTACACAAAATTGGTGCTGAGTAACTGTTTCTTGAAAAGTACTCATTCCAACTTGCCAAATGGCCAGTTTTTTGACTTTTCTTTCTTATTACAGCTCTTGCCCCACTGGTTAATTACATTTATCAGGGAAACTTGAAGAGGAAGTTTTAAGTCATTTCAGAATGGCCGCTGAGGTCTAGGTCTTGAGACATGCAGCTTAGACGTTGCGTGTTTCGTCTGCCCTCAGCCTGGGACTGGCTTCGTGCTGTCACGGACGCCTGGTCTTTCCAGGCCCGCAGCTACCCCCCGGGAGTGCAGACCTGAGTAAGAGGATCTCCTCGCCCGGGTTAATGCGTGTAGAAGGCGGGATGGCCAGGGTGTGTGTTTCTTGACCTTCCAGCCAGACCACGCTTTGGGCGGGGAACGAAAGGCATCCCAGCAGCCCGGGCCAGACCGGGATGGCGGTGGAAGGAGAAAGGCGTGGGGATGACCGGAAAACAGGCCGGCTGGGCGGGGCTGGGAAGTGGCCGCTTGTGAGTTGGTGGAATGTCTGAAACCTTGGGTGGCGGGAAGAGTCTGTGAGCAGAATCGGGCCTCTGGGAGACGGCTGGTTCAGGGTCTCACGGTGGCTTCAGTTTTAGACTGCTGAGGCGCGTGCGAGGTGACATTCCCCTTGGAGGCGCTGAGCAGTTGAAGCGCCAAAGAACATGGCCGTGGACTAGCCTGGTGCCATCTGCACGGAGACGCTAGCCACCAGCCCGAGCAAGAGCTGGGTGTGCAGAGCAGGGGAAGGAGCGCAGAGGACCAGGACCAGGATGCTGGCCGCGTCCTTACTGGGGCGTTGGAGAGGAGTGGGGAAGGATGGGCGCACGCGGGAGGACCGTCGATGGCTGGCGGCCGAGGAGCTGTGGGAGGGTCCAGGGGCTGACCCGGTCCGCGAGGGCTGCAGCAGGCAGAGCTCAGCTGGACAGAGGGAGCCTGCTGTTCGGGGCGGCTGCCTCTTCTGTGGCGGGGGAGCTGGAGGCCGGCTTGAAGATGGACCGGCACGGAGGTGAAGAGTAGCCGCTGGTGCTCTTGGAGTGAAGGAGGGAAGAGGAAGCAGGTGGAAGGATCAGCGGAACTTGCTTGGGTTGCTTGGAAACAGCCTGTGGCCAGGGAAGCTGAAGGTTCTAAGAGATTAGCTGAGAGATCACGAAAGGCTGTGGTTTCTGGGCCTCAGCTGGCTTACGGGGACAGAAGATACATGAAGCCTTGCTGCCAGGCCTTCCTGCCGCGGTGGTTGTCCTGGCGGGTGGGCACGGTCTCCCGGCCCTCTGCAGGGTCCCTGGGCTTTTCTAGATCCACAGCAGTGCTGTGCAGCCTGCTTATGTGCCTAACAGGCGCCAAGGCCAGTTTTAACCATTGGACTAAGGAAAGCCCACAGGAGTTGAACTGTGTGGGTTCCGGGAGGAACACAGAGTGAGATACGTGGAGTCAGTGAAAGAACCTGAAGCTCCAGGTAGAGCTTTGCAGAGCAGAGGCATTTCAGGAGACGGAGCAAGAACATTTTAAGTTGGACCTGACCTTCGCCTAAAGGTCATGGTTGGCGCTTGCATCCTGGTGCTCCTCGACCCTCGCGTACAGATCTCAGAACCCCAGAGGCGCCGGAGGCCGGGGGCCCTGGGGGGCCAGGCCTGGCTGGACGCGTGGCCCCTGGGGGCCTGTCCTTTCCCTGCATGCCACTTGCGGAGCTGTGCATTCTCTGCGAGCGTTGTAGCGGCCTGCAGTAGCCTAGGACTGGCCTCTTCTGGCGTCCAAAGCTGCTTTCCGATTGTCTGGTGCACTGACTTAGGTTCTGGACACGAAGGACCTTGCCATAGAGCGCGTGGTGATCGGCGGACAGGAAGCCAAGTTCACCCTCGGAGAGAGCCAGGCCCACAAGGGCTCGCCCCTGGAGATCACGGCCCCCGTCGCACTGAGCAGGTAGGAGCCAGCCCCTCTCAGCTGGATGATGGGGAGGTGGCCTTGCTCAGTTGAGACATTTCTAAGAATTTGGGTGTGTGTGCTCATCATTGGCGCGCTCACCCTGATCCGTTCAGTGGAAGGTTATGCGGTCACGAAATGAGATGTTCGCTCTTAAGGGACTGCAGACATGTGTTGTGCACAGTTCACAGGACTGAGGCCTTGGGGGACCCTGACTTCTCAGTCAGCCATCGTTCTGGTGTCAGGAGTGGCGGGACATGCTGTCCCGGACGTGGCAGGACAGCCTGGGAAGCTTTCACCAGCTGCGGTCTCTGTCCTCGCCCCAGGAGGCCGCGACCGGCCGGCTGTGGCGGCTTGAGATGCCTTCCGTATGTCGCCCTGTGTTACGCTGGGAGGTGTGCTCGCCGCCCTGCAGATGAGGACGGGCGCCTTGGAGATGAAGGGAGCTGAGGCAGGAAGGTGGCCACCGCACCGGCCTCCTGAGCGCGTGCCCCGTCCCTCGAGGCGCGGGGAGGACGTTGGCTGGAGCGCGGCAGCCGCCCATGGGCGGGCCCGGGCCTCCCCCCTTCTCCTCCTCTCTGAGAGAAAGAAAGGGAGGCTAGGGCAGCGGCTCCGCGTGGGAGCCCGGCACTTTGGGAGGCCAGGGCCGGGGGATTTCTCGAGGCTGGGGCTTGAGACCAGCGTGGGCAGCATAGCAGACCGTGGAGCCCATCTCTGCGAAAACAAAGTGATCAGTTGGGCGTGGCGCTGTGCCCCTGTAGTCGCCTCTTGGGTCCCAGCCACTCAGTAGCTGCTGGGGTGGGACGATGGCCCGTGCCCCGGAGCCCAGGAGTCGGAGCTGCGGGGCGCTGTGACTGCGCTGCTGCGCTCAGCCTGGGTGGTAAGCACGATCCTGTCTCTCAAGGGATTAAAAAGAAAGCACAAGCAAAGAAACACCGGGCGTGGCTTGTGAGGTGGGTGTCGTGAACCCCAGTCTAGAGGAAACTCGCCAGTCCCCAGCACCAGGACGTGGCCGGGCCATGATTGCGACGCAGGCTGTGGCTCCAGGGCCCTCGCAGGCTCCCGCCAGCAGAGCTCCTCCAGCTGTGGGGGCGGCCGTGTCTGCCGTCGTCTTTCGGGCAACACTTGTGAAATGCCACGAAAAGGAGCTGTGAGGAAGAAGCGATGAGGCTGGCGCGCGTTTCTTGTTATAAGACGAAGCAGACTGATGGCCTGAGCGCTGCTCGCCATTTCCCGACGGGTCCACTGGACAGCAGCGACTCGCGGGGTGCCACGGCTCACGTCGCACTCTGGCTGAGCGGCCATGGTCATCAAGGCACCGCAGTTGCTCGTGCCACATCCCCCTTTGTAGAAGACGAGGGGCACCACGGAGACGAAGTGTGGGGCTCCCGTGTGTACTGGCTGGTTGTGCTCCCGATGTCTCGGGCAGCAGCACGTGGGGCGTGCGCGGCCCGTGGTTACTGGGGATGGCCGAGGCCCGCCGCGTGGAGACTGCGCTGCCAGGGCTCACTCCCATCGGGGAAGGGCCGCGCATGGGGCCGTCCGTGCCGTACCTGTGTGCCGTGCGAGTCCCAGGGTCTGTTCCACGGAATTCCCCTCTGCTGATTGACTCCCTTGTCCCACACAGAGACCAAGAGGTTGTCATAGAAATCTCCTTCGAGACGTCTCCCAAATCTTCCGCTTTGCAGTGGCTCACTCCCGAGCAGACTTCTGGGAAGAAACACCCATACCTCTTCAGTCAGTGCCAGGTACGAGGGCTCCGGAATGTTCCTGCACACGCTGCCAGATGAGGCCCGAGGGCGGTGGGCTTGTAGGCATGTGGGCTTCACCCAGTGTCGTGTTTGCATTTATTTCGAGTCATAAAAACAGCAGGTGTCTTCATGTAGCTCTCCCACTGTCAACACATCCACGTATCACCTCGAAAAGGAGCTTCTTCAGCTTGGGATGTGTCCCGAGGTTGGACTGTTAGGTCTGACTTGCCTCCCAGCACCTGGCCGAGGCGCTCACTCCATAGCAGGCATAAAGTGAGAGGAAGCGTCAGTGAAAGTAGCGTGTGCTGGTTGGGAAACACGCTCACGGTGGAGAGGCGGAAAGTGAAAAAGCAGACCCCGACCCTTCCCAGGCATCACTGCCTGGAGGCAGCCACTGTGGAGTTTGCTGTAGTCTGTTTGTGTCCATCTGATACATTTGCAACCATACGGATTATAGAAATGTGTTCAGTGTACCTTTAGAATACTATGATTTAAACTGCCTCTGTTTTTCTGTTTAAAAACTAAAGGTAGAGAGCTGTACAGTTGGAGACAGTCCGTCACAAGGATAATAAATACCAGACTGTTTCTGAAAGAAAACACCTACTGGTGGTGGTAACCAAATAACTTACCAGAAAGGAACTCACGTCATTAGACACTTACTGTGTTTCCCAGTGTTGTGTAGGTCCTTAGCATGTTCAGTCCTCCCCATGGTCCTGTGTGGATCTCAGTTTGAGTACAAGTCTTTAAGACAGGAAGCAGCTCATGAATTAGGCCAGTTTACTTTCTGCAGCCACTTGAAATATCTTTTTAATCTAAGAAACCTTTGGTTCATAATCAGAAGATATAAAATGTTCTGGACAAGAACATACAAGCCTTCCCTCTCTGTCTCTCATGAGTATCTGATTTCAGGCAGTATTTCTCATATAAGTTCATAGGCTAAAGTTGGCAAAAAGTGCAGATTTGTGAGTCACAGAAATGTGAATTTTGAATATCTGCCTCCATTTCTTATTGATACCAATGTTTGAAGTATAGGAAAGAGTTTCAGCTAAATTAAGAAATGATGACAGTTGTAGGACACATATAGCCGTGATTGTGCTTGATGAGTTTGCTGAAATGCACTTAAAAACCACTTTGGCCACCCGGTGTGGTGGCTCATAACTGACAGCCCAGCACTCTGAAAGCCCAAGGTGGGAGGATCGCTTGAGGCCAAGAGTTGACGACTCCTGAGCTATGATCACACCACTGCACTCCAGCCTGGGCAACAGAGTGGGACCCTTCCTCAAAAAAGAAAAAAAAAAAGATAAAACTGTGATTTAAAAAAAAAATTCACAAATCTGTTTTTGCTACAGTTAAAGGTCCCAAGAGATGAGAGACCTCTTGCTATTTTTAAAGCAACTCTGTCTAGGATGATGATTTCTTAGCGACTTGGTTTGCAAGAGAGGAGAGTGGCTATTTCTTTTCTTTCTTCGCCTAGGCCACCCACTGCAGAGCGATTCTTCCATGTCAGGACACTCCATCTGTGAAATTAACCTACACGGCAGAGGTAAATGTCACCGGTTATTAACTGAATTAAATGATCTGTATGAGAATATAGGATGTAAGTGGTAGGCAGAGATGGTTACTGAAATGTTAGAGTTAGAAATATTTTACTTAATGAAATTCCACCCGAAATGTGTGAAAAAGAGACTGTGAAGCTCACTCTGAATCTCTGCTTTAAAGGCACTTTTTTGTGTGTGTGAGACAGAGTCTCATTCAGTCACCTAGGCTGTAGTACAGTGGCATGCTCCCAGCCACCGCAGCCTCGACCTGCTGGGCTCAGGTGATCCTTCCACCTCAGCTTTCCAAGTAGCTGGAACCACAGGCATGCACAACCATGCTCAGCTGGTTTTTTTTTAAATTATTATAGAGACAAGGTCTCGCCATGTTGCTCAGACTGGTCTCGAACCCCTGAGCTCAGGCAGTCCTCTTGCCTCCACCTCCCAAAGTGCTGAGATTATCGACTTGCGCCACTGCGCCCAGCTAAAGGCATTATAAGTTTGCAAAAAGGAAGGGGAGCTATTCTGAATTTTAATAAGGACTTCAGAATTCTGAATCTGAAAGCAGGAATTAGCAACAGTGCTTTTCTAACTTTGAAGAGTTGGCTTTTGCAGAATTCAGGTTTCTCTTAGTGCATTCTTCAGCCATATCAACGGTGTCCGGGTGGCCTCGGGCGGTCGTGGGCGATTTCTATCCTCTCAGGAAAGTGGGACTGCCATGAACGAACAGACCACCCAGATGCACATGGATGAGCACTCACCTGTGTAAGGCACCTTCCCGAGTCCCAGGTCAACCACGCCCAGCCCGCAACGGTGCAAGGCTGGAGAATGTTTTTCCTGGAGACAGGCTCTTGGGCTCTTGGGCAGCACGAGGTGCCTGGGATCCTTGGGCAGTTTGGTGGCCTCAGCCTCGGGTGTCCCGTGTGTGATGTGCCACTGTCTGAGTGCTGGGTGGAGGTGAAGCCAGGTGCTTTCCTGAATGTGTCTTGGTTTAGGGTCTGTGGTGTCACAGCCCTGGGGCAGAGCTCCTAATTCCGTGTCAGCCTTGGGGACAGTTTGAGTCCCTAGCGATGCTAGAGAACTGTGCGAGGCTGGTGCTCCCTGGGCTGAGGGTTCGCCGCAGCACCAGCACTCCGGCTGGTCCTGTGTTCTGGCGTTGATTGGAAGCCCAGCGTCCAGGGGCCCGGAGCGAGGGTGCCATGGCAGGACCATGTGGCTTGCCTCATACGAACCTTTTCTGTACACATTTCTGGAGAAAGTCACTTCAGGTTTTGGCAATAAGTTTTAGCTTCTCACAGTTACCGTCCTTAAAAATCCTGTTTTTATTTGAAACGCCAATGTGTGCTTCAAACGTGGATTTGCTCAAAGCTGCATCCTCTGTTCCCCAGTGAGCGTGGCGGCCTGTCGAGTCCTCTGGGGCATGGGGGCTGGTGGCTCCATCTCCAGGCTGACTGGGCTGGCTCTTCAGATGCGATTGGATCCTTGCAGCAGACCTTGGTGTGTACCTGTCTGGTGGGGAAGCCAAGCAGCGGGGATGTTATTTGCACAAGCTTGTGCGGCCAGTAGGTGGCAGGCCTGGGACCTGCTATGACTCTTCTCTTAGACGTGCGCGGATGGATGGATGGATGGATGGATGGATGGATGGAGCAACAGCTTCGTTTGTTTTGAAGAAGCCGGTTCCCCACATGCCAGCGCTATTCACAAACCGACCTACATGTCCTCCAGCATTCTCAGTCCGCTTATTGTGCAGATCGTCTGTGAGAGGAGAAAGGCTGTGTTATGGCCGTAGCCTGAGGTCCTTGGAACCTTCTCTTGACTAGAAGTGGCTTTTCTTCTCCATCAGGTGTCTGTCCCCAAAGAGCTGGTGGCACTTATGAGTGCCATTCGTGATGGAGAAGCGCCCGACCCTGGAGACCCGAGCCGGAAGGTGTACAGGTTCAGCCAGAAGGTGAGCTCTGGGCCTAGACTGTCACTCTCGTGGGTGGGGGCCACAGACAGCTCCTGCCCGTCTGGAGGGCAAACTGGCTTTTGAAACACTGCGGAGTTTAGGGAGCAGCGTTCGTTTCTTGTTGCCATTCTTTGCGCTTTGGGCAGGCAGAGTGGGCTGTAGACGCAGCTGCGTTTCCCTCACCCGGCAGGGGCAGGCTTCCCGCCCTTCGACCCCATCACACTTTTGCCCGCCCCGAAGCACAGTGCAGGTGTGTGCTGTTGGGGGGGGGTCTGTCGATGCGGGAGCCAAGACAGGAACGCCCTCGGGGACAGCCCTGGACGTCAGAATTCCTGCGTGGCTGGGAGTTGGGCCTGTCTCCGACCTTCAGGAACTCTGTGTGTGTGTGTGTCATTGACCTCACAGTGGAAAACCTGGGTTCCAAGCTCCCGCAACATTGGCATCCACTAACTGCTAGATTATTTTGCATGTCTCTGGACTACGCCAGAAGGGGCTTAAACTAAAAAGAATTTTTGAAAAGAAACGTGTTTTGAAGTCAGGAGAAAAAAATCAAGAGAATAGCTGAGTTGTCTTCCTATAGTCACCTTTTGAGAAACGCTTAAAATGCACACCCTAATCCTCTGTGCAGTTGTGTTTCCAACATGTCAGTGGCTCTTGCTCCTAGTGGAATTGAAGGAAACAGGTGTGTTGAAATGTTTCGCCTCACAATTTTACCCTTTTTGGTAAAAGCGAGAAGAGTTTGTGAGGCACAGAAGGGAAGTCGTCCGTATGGATATTTGGGGAGTTGAGGGGGATTCACTTACTTGTTATGCAGGTGTCTCGCCATCGCATGAGCTCTGACGCAGGGTGTGGTGTGTTCCCTGCAGGTCCCGATACCCTGCTATCTGATTGCGCTCGTTGTTGGAGCTTTGGAAAGCAGGTGAGCTTCTGGTGGCTTTGGGGTCTGTGAAGATCCGGCCCGGGCGGTCATGACCCTTTGCAGGGCTGGTCAGGGATTATATGTCTGCTTCTCAAGATGTCAGGCTGAAGCCCCAGAAAAACGCCAGCCTAAACGGGAGATGCAGGCAGCAAGTGCGTTTTAAATTAGAAGATCTCGGTCCGTGGCCCCTTGGGTGTTCCGAGGACTGTACGTGAGCGCTCGTACCTTAGGAGGGAGGCCTGGGTTGAAGAGCTGAAACAGGTCTCTTCTCGTCGTCTCCGTCTCCTCAGCCTGGAAACAGTGGCAGCTGCCTTGCCTGCCTCGTGGGGGCACAGGGTATGTGAAGTAAAAGAGATGAGGTACATGAAAGCCTTTGCCCGCCTACAAGTATTACAGGCATGTAAGTGGTCGTGTGAGCCTTTACTGATAGCTATAGTGCCCTTCCTTCTGGTTTCTTTGGTGTGTGCTTATTTCTGAGCCCACTTGGCGATTTCAAGTGTGCAGCTCAGTCGCGTTGAGCACATTCACGTTCTTGTGAATCGGGTCTGCGGAGCCTTTTTGTCTCGCAAAACTGAAACTCTGTCCCCTGAAGTAGCAGCCCCCTCCCCGCCCCCTGGTGACCACCATTCCACTTTCTGCTCCTGTGAATCTGACTGCTTAGCAGACTCATGGTGGACCTTGTCTTTTGGGACTGGCTTGTTTCGCATGGCCTCATGTCCCTAAGGCTCACCCGTGGCGTGGCGTGGGCTGGGATAGCCTTCGTTTTCCGTTTGTTTCTTCTGATTGAGAGGATTCAGCCTTTGAGTGCATCGCCGAGCTGAGGGCTGCTTCTGCTCGGGATGATGTCTTGTGGGCGATGGCGGGCTTCCTATGGTTGTGGGATCGAGGGAGAAAGCTAGACTCCCAACGTCTTCCCAGTCCCCGGAGGCCGACCATGGGGCACTTCCCGACTGGGTTTCCTCGACTTGGCTGCCCCTCCTGGAGGACGGCACGCCGAGGGCCGCACGCACGGCCGCAGCTGGGCGTCTGCAAGAGGCCGTTCGGCCTCACCCCTTTCCCTCAAGCACATGGCAGATCCCCTGGCTGGGAGGGTCTGGACGAGACTGGAAACCCTTCCTAGAACCAGATGCCATCTGCTTGAATTTCCTTCCACTGGGCTCTTTAATTTTGCAGGCAAATCGGCCCAAGAACTTTGGTGTGGTCTGAGAAGGAGCAGGTGGAGCAGTCTGCTTACGAATTTTCCGAGGTAGGTCGTCTGGGTGTCCTCACACAAGTCCCTGTGGCAGATGGCAGGGTGGAGATTTCGGGCGTGGGGCGTGCTGGTTCTAGGGGATGAGGTGAGAGGAGAGGTGTCTTATGTGAGTTTGCAGTTGCCATGTTCTTCTTGCCGTCTTCATTTAAAATAAGCATCATCAATGCACAGCCTTCATAGAAAGCAATGTATACTTGTAAAAAGTGTCCACGGTAATGAAACATACAGATACATATGCACTCCTTTTTCAGACGGAATCCATGCTTAAAATCGCAGAGGATCTGGGAGGCCCGTACGTATGGGGCCAGTACGACCTGCTGGTCCTGCCGCCGTCCTTCCCCTACGGGGGCATGGAGAACCCCTGCCTGACCTTTGTGACTCCCACCCTGCTGGTGAGTGGAAACAGCTGTCCTGTGCGGCTGGGCCTTTCAAAGTGGGACCTCCCCAGAAAGGGCCCTAGAGTCCTTGCACTGGCCACAAGGTCTTGTTTGTATTCCCTTGCTTCCGATTCTCTTGCTGCTTGTGGTTGTCAAAATCCCACTTGGAAAAGACAGTAACTTGGCCTTTTGGGGAAAGAGAGTATTCCGTTCAGGGTTTCTGGGGCTGGGTTGCTGTGCGACAGTGTCCGTCGGGGAGTTGCCGCCCCGGTCACACTCAGTGTGTAGGTTCGGGGAAAGAGCGCATCCAGCGAGCACCATTCCGAAGGGCTCAGGCCGCAGCGCGGGCTGTGTCTGTGCTGTGCGAGCGCCTGGGAGCCGAGGGCCACGGGAGGGGTGAGGAGCAACTGCAGATAAAGCACCCTTGGTGCGTTTGTGGGGCGTGGGGAGAGAGCGTGAGGGTGTGCGGGAGTCAGATGGACGTCGGCAGTGCAAACAGGAGGCAAGTTCGTGCAAGTTCATGGACAGCGGTGCGCCAGCCCTCCCCGGCACAGACGCCCTGGTGGGGGCGGCGAGAAGTTCACGGGTGGTGGTGCTCCGGCCCTCCCGGTGGCACAGACACCCTGGAGTGGGCGAGGAGAGCGAGATGCACTCTGGGTTCTGCGTTTTTGTTTCACTTTCTCGATGCCCGTCTCCTTGAACCCCCTGAAGGGCTGTAGTGGAAATGCGTGGATTGTCGGCACCAGGGTACTGATGTCCAGGGAGATGTCTTTTGGATAGTCTGTACTCTGCTGAAATACTATGGTAATTTTTTTTTTTTTGTAGGCCGGTGACAAGTCACTCTCTAATGTAAGTTTGCATTTCCTATTATGGTCTTAAGAAGTATTAAGTCAGCTGATTCTAAAATACCCATTGTATTGTCACGTTAAAGATAAGGTTACAAAAGATACTTGGGGGTTCTCGTGCAAGACATTACTACGTTCACAATCACATGTAACAGAGTTAATGAAGTTTTATGATTTGATCTCTTTCCATGTTTCAGTATTTTTAATGAAGTGACCTATCCATTTAATTTAATTTTTTCCAAGTAATGTTTGTTTTCAGTTATTTTAACTGTGCCGTATTAGTTTTGTCTCTGGTTAAACTGCACTTTTCTGCTGAGCTCAGTAACTCTGAGCATCTCGGCTCACGGTCAGAAGACAGACTGGCTAGCATACGGCGGAAAGGACAAGAGCGCCGGACTCGGGGTGGTTGCCGGTGGGGCTGTGGGTCTGACTGAGTCACACTGCTGCCCCAGGTGATCGCCCATGAAATCTCTCACAGCTGGACAGGGAATCTGGTGACCAGCAAGACGTGGGATCACTTCTGGTGAGACGTGGTTTCTGTTTCTTTGGTGGCTTTTGTTGGGGCTGGGTTTTCCCCGCCTCCCACCACTCCGGACTGTTCCGTGTGTTTCTTTGGGAGACAAGGGTTCTCCCTCGGAAGTTCTGTTCCTCCATCCGTGTCCGGTGTGGGCCAGGCGCTCAGCTATGCCTGTGAGTCCCGATGCCGTCACATTGCCGTCCCGTGGGCACATGCAGCTGGGACCGTGGGTCAGCTCTCCCTGCTACCGGCTGCAGGCGGGCTGCTCACCTTGGCGTGGACCCGTGGAGCCACGCGGTCGTCTGCCAAGACCAGGCTGTGTGTTGCCACTGCTTTCCTCTGCACAGAAACCAGAGAGAAAATACTTCTCCATTAAAATGCCTGTTCCTCCTGGCTGTTTTTCAGGCTGAATGAAGGGCATACTGTGTACCTGGAGCGCCACATTTGTGGCCGCTTGTTTGGTGAGAAGTTCCGACATTTCCACGCCCTGGGAGGATGGGGGGAGCTGCAGAACACGGTGAGTGGCACGACTTCCAGGCGCTCAGCCGAGCCGAGAGGTGTGGCGTGGGCCGTTTTTGCATAGCCTCTTCACGGAGTCGTGGCGAGAAAGGCGCTGTCACAGGCATGGTCGCCACAGGTGCTGGTGTGGCCAAGGTGCTTGGGAACTCCTTGGGGCTCTGCTGCTCATAGAGCTGGCTGCTATGTTTGAATTTTATTGGGTATATTTTTTCATTTTAAGTGCTCGCTCCCCAGAGCCTGACCAGGCATTGGAAAATTTTCTCGGCCTTTTTATAAGAGCGAAAGCTACGACTGGCCGTTTTCAGGCTGAGTTTGCCAGCCCGACCTCCAGCCTCTTGAGCCTGCTTCTGCAAAGGCCCCTCCCCGCAGCCATCGGCAAGGGTCAGGAACATGGCCAGGCCCATCTGCTGGACTCATAGCGTGTGGCTGTCTGTCCAGCAGCTGCCCGAGTTGTCCAAAGCAGAAGGGCTGAATGAGAACCGGTCACTTTCTGCTGGCCATCCCGGCCTGACCAGGTGCTAGCCCCTGCCTCGAGCGGCCACGCCTGAGGGGAGAGTGCCCAGCTCAACAGACAGCCAGTGTAGAAGGGAACAAATGGAGAGTCAAATTGGAGAAGGGATGGGGCTGCTCTGTTTACAGAGAAAGCAGAAAGCCTACTGTCGGGTAGGAAATGCTGGGGACGTCAGGGAGGTGGCTGTCTGTCGGTCGTCATCCGGGCGTCTGTGCCAGGTTCCCCCATGCTTCTGGTCTCCACGTCTGTGCAGGGTCTGGACTCCCTAGGTTTTTGCCCCTGGGAGACGTCACGCCTCCGTGTTAGCCTGCTGCCCTGGGACACTCTGTGTTGTCAGACCACACCTGGGATGTCGCCTCACTGCATGTCTTGCAGATCAAGACTTTCGGGGAGACTCACCCTTTCACCAAGCTTGTGGTCGACCTGGCGGACGTGGACCCCGACGTTGCGTATTCCCCCGTGCCCTATGAAAAGGGCTTCGCTTTGCTTTTCTACCTTGAACAGCTGCTTGGAGGCCCAGGTCAGTAGTTGGCTTCCCGCAGTTTTTTTCTTTTGGAGCCTGTGTGAAGGGTAAGAAAGAGTTGTGAGCAGCGGTGTGTGTCCGTTTCACACTTCCGCTCGCTCTGTGTATAACTCTTGAAAAAACCCTTGTCCTTTTCTAATGTGACATCTCCATTCAGAACCTTGACCTACCCCTGAGTTCGTAGTGACGCGGCTTGACTTTAAAACAAACATCTCCTCGATTTTAATAATCAGGATGCTAGTAAACACTGGGAAAATGTCCTTGGCACAGAAGCATACCAGCAACCAATGAGCGTCCATCGGCCCTTTCCACATCCCGGTGACAGCTGCCAGCTGCTGCTGTGTGGGGCTGGATCGTTTTCTGAGTGTTAACAGACAGATACATACATCGAACCGTTTTGTTTACGAAAAACGGCTCGTGCTGTTCGGTGGTCTGCCTTGTTCTTGACTCACGGCTTCACGTGCCTCCTTCCTCATTGGCACACATAAACCTGTCTTCTGCTGTTTTAAATTTTAAATTCTTTTTAATTTTTGATTTTTTGAATTTGAATCGCTCTCTGTCACCCAGACTGGAGTGCAGTGGCATGATCACAGCTCCCCACAGCCTCTACCCGCTGGGGTTCAGACAATCCTTCCACCTCAGCCTTCAAAGTAGCTGGAATTACGGGCATGTGCCACCACACCTGGCTAAGTTTTTTATTTACTCTAGAGACGAGGGCTTGCCAAGTTGCTTAGGCTGGTCTCAAAACCTTGGTCTCGGGCAGTTCTCTCACCTCGGCCTCCCAAAGTTCTGGGCTTACAGGCGTGAGCCACCACGGCCAGCCCAGCAGCCTATTCTTAAAAAATGCTACCTTAAAAGTAGTGGTCTTTATTTCCAGAGCTAGGGTCTTACTCTGTTGCCCAGACTGGAGTACGGTAGTATACTTGCAACTCACGGTAGCCTCAAACTCCAGGGCTCAAGTGATCCTCCTGCCTCAGCCTCCAAGTAGCACCACCACCATGTTCAGCTAATTTTTATATTGTTTGTAGAGACAGGCATCTTGCTGTGTTGTCTAGGCTGTTCTCAAACTCCCGGCCTCAAGTGATCCTCTCGCCTCGCCACCCAAAGCGCTGGGATTGCAGGCGTGAGCCACTGTGCCTGGTGTCTCCTGCTTTTTATTGCCATCGTAATATTTCGTTGCACTGAGGTGCTGGTTTGTTGCCCCCCTCCGTGGGCTGACTTGGAGGGCCCCCGCCTGCACCCCTTCTGCCTGTCAGTTGTCTTCCCCTCCCTCCTGGTCACACGAGGGTGATGCTGGCGGACCCTGTGCCGTGTGTGCATCTCCCCTTCCCATAATGAGGCTTCCTCCTCCCTCCCCCATGGTGTGTTCCTGACCCCTTCCTGAACATCCTTCCCTCTGAAGCCCTCGCTGGTTCCCTGGACTGCGACGTCTTCTGTTCTCTGGAGTCCGTAGTCCAGCGGCAGCCCACACACCTGTCAGATAACAGCCTTTCTAAGACTGGCTGATTTCTCTTTCTTTCTTTCTGTTTGCTCTTAGAGGTTTTCCTGGGCTTCCTAAAGGCGTATGTTGAGAGATTCTCCTACAAGAGCATCACCACCGACGACTGGAAGGCCTTCCTCTACTCCCACTTCAAGGACAAGGTGGGGTTTAAACGCTTTTTTATTGTTTGTGCCCAGTAGATTGTTACTTGTTGGTTTGTTGTTAGGCTAATTTGAATCACTTAGCATGTTGGTTCAGAATGTAAGACTCCATCTTGCGTTGCATTTTTTCCTGTTTACAATGTGATCTCAACCACACAAACAAAAAAAAGTTTTCTTTTTTCAGAGACATTCTCAATAGTATGCTTCAGAATTGTGTTTTCTGTATGTGCTTAATTTTCCTATTTTAATTATTTCACAGAACGCTAATATAAATTTATTTTAGAAGAGACTTAGTTGAGGTGATGGAGTGTTAATTATCTTGATTTGCTCATTTCATATTGTATACACTATGGAAACAGCACATTATATCCCATAAATACACACAACTATAATCTGTCAATTTGAAATACTGAAAGTTTTTTGAGCCAAATGTCACCCAGACCGGAGTGCAGTGGCACGATCACAGCTCCCCACAGCCTCAAACTCCTGAGGTCAGGTCATCCTCCCAAGTCAACGTCCTGAGCAGCTGGCACTATAAGCGTGTGCCACCATGCCCGACCCGTGTTTTGATTTTCAGTAGAGATGGTGTCTCACTATATTGCCCAGGCTTGAACTCCTGGACTGAAGCAATCCTTCTGCCCCGGCCTCCTACAGTGCTGGGATTACAGATGTGAGCCACCGTGCCTGGCCTAAAATAATAGTAATTTTAAAAAGAACAGATTCAGAAATTATCCGGGTGACAGAGTAGACAGGATTCTACATCTAAGCATTTGTAAAGTTTGTTTTAAAATGCTTTTTCAACGGAAAAGCAATCCTCAGCACATGGGGTCTTCTTCCTGTCGACAGGTCGACCTCCTTGATCAGGTGGATTGGAACGCCTGGCTCTACGCCCCAGGACTGCCCCCCGTCAAGCCCGCGTAAGCCCTGCCCACGCCCCCTCCCTCTTCTCCTTCCCCAGCCCCCCGAAGCTTCCGTGAGGGCCGCGGGCCATCCGAGCTGCTGCTGTCAGCGGGAGAGCGGGGCTGTTGGTTTGGGCCAGCTAGACAGTGTCCTTGACTGACAGTGTCCTTGATTGACGGCCGCAAAGCAGCAGTTCTTTGCTGGGGCTTGCTCAGCGCCTCCTTCCTGCGCAAGAACGTGGGGCTTGGAGAAGACTCAGCTGGCGCCTCTAATGCTGTTTGAGTGTATGTTAGTGATTCCAGCACCTGTCAGTTGCTCAGCTCATTTCTGAGGTGGGGAAGACGGTTTAGCTGGGTCACCTGTCTCGCTCAAGGCCACACATTCTGGAGGTGTGAGAGCTGAGGGTCCGGCCCAACAGCCCCCCCCGCCTTTCAGGGTGGCGCTCCTCAGAGGAAGGCCCTGACCTCCACGCTTGTGGAGGATACCAGCGCTGACGCATCCAGCCCCTCACACCCGTCCTGGGTTGCCGAGTGGCAGTTGCTGTCACTCTGGCAGGCCGGCTTGTTGGTGTGGAAGCAGCAGGAGGGGGCGGAGCCAGGAGAGCCGGGCCGCGTGTCCGCGGATGGCCAGGCCGAGAGGTCTGGCGGGGTGCGATGGGGCCGGCGCGAGGGAGAGACGGGTCGGAGCGGCCTGTGACCCGGCAGCGCTGGCCACGGCAGCCGTGGGGGAGGCACTCAGAAGCCGGGGAGGCGGCTGCATGAGCACCTGTGCTCAGAGTTGTTTTGGAAACAGGCAGGCGACACATTATCAGCCCTCTGGCTCATCGGAGAGGCAGCAGCAGAGGACACTAGCGTGTCTCTAGAGCCATGCGTAAGAGGTGCCATGCAGGACGTGACCTCACTCGTTCCTAGAGCAGCCTTGCCCAAGACCGCAGGCCTGTGGTCCTGTGGGGGATGGGGGTGACTGGGCATCTTGGTTGGAATCTGCTGGTGAGCCAGGGAGGCACAGACAGGGACCGAGCAGAGAGCGCAGCTGCAGGCCAGCTCCACCCTATACGTCCGTGGCGGCCAGGGCTGTGGTGACGCAGTGAAGGAGGGGTGCTCGGAGCGACACGCTCCCAGGACTCACGGCACGGGGCAGTATTTTCTGACAGCTGCCTGTTGCGCGTCGCACGGGCACCCAGAGGAACACAGGTGGGAAGGTGAGCACCTAGGGGATCACCACGTGAGGCTGGCGGAGGAGGCAGCTTCAGGGTGAGCCGGCGTTCCGTCTCCGCCTGGCTCGGGTGTCCTGGCCAAAGCGGCAGGGGTGCCACGGGGAGACATCCTGGCTCCCCGGCCTGACTCCCGCACCTCATCTGGAAGGCACATCGACGTGGGCGCGTGCTCTGCTGCATCGACACGCGGAGCGCAGAGGCATGTGCGTTCTCCTAAGATGTAGTCTTAGGCACGTTTTCTCTTTGCAGTTACGACATGACTCTGACCGACGCGTGTGTCGCCTTAAGCCAGAGATGGGTCACTGTGAGTAGCAACAGGGGACGTCTGTTTCTTTCTGAGTTCTGCGCACACATCCTGTGCCCTGAGGAGCAGGGCGCGGAGAGGGGGCGACCCAGGCAATCTCATTCTGTGCTGTTGACTTTTTAATCGTTGGCATGCATTTTGGAATTAAGACAAGTGCCTAGTTTACAAGAAGTTAAAACTAGCTGAGAAGACGTCACAGGGCTCATCTTGATAAGCTTTGCTGACTGTAACGCCGTCCTTGTGTCAGGGTTCCTGGCTGTGAACCTGCTGTGACAAGCACAGACCTTCGCTGCTTTTCCTGAGAGGACTTCCAAGACCAAGGGGGAAAACCCAAACGTGTGGGTGTGGTGTGGGTGTGGGGAGGAGGACACACCCGTTGGTGGCCTTATCAGCTCATTATCGTGACACTGATAAGGACCTGTGGAGTGGCTGTTGACATGTGTCTGTAACTTTCTCTGCTTCGGAAATCTCTGTACCTCCCAAAGGATGTCAGAAGTTTCTTCCACGCTTACTAGCTTACTATAAATAGTCTGCTTTTTTTTTTTCTCTTTTTTTTTTTTTTGAGCCAGAGTCTCATTCTGTGGCCCAGGCTGGAATGCAGTGGCATGCTCATGGCAGCCTCAGACTTCCAAGTAACTGGAATCACAGGTGTGTGCCACTACGCCCAGTTAATTTTTTTATTGTAGAGACAGGGTCTTGCCAAATTGCCCAGGCTGGTCTTGGACCCCTGGGCTCAGGCAGTCCTCATCTCCGCCTCGCAAAGAGCTGGGGTTATAGGCATGAGCCACCACACCTGGAAGTAGCCTACTTTTTCTTTCTCTCTTCTTTTTTTAAAATAGAGACAGGGTCTCACTGTGGAGCACTGGCTGGTCTCAAACGCATGGCCTCAGACGATCCTCCTGCCCCGGCCTCCCAAAGTGCTGGGATTCCAGGCCTAAGCCACTATGCCCAGCCTACTTGTTCTCAAGTAATAGAGACGTTAGGATTAATATCAGGCTTAAATTTATTTTGTTTAATCTTGTACAGCGATTTGTCTTCTTCTTAGTTTTGACTTTTATGTTATATAAACTAAGAGATACCATTGAATTGTACATGAACAGAAATAACCAGGTGACATTTATCTTAGGCCAAAGAAGAAGATTTAAGTTCATTTAGCGCCACAGACCTGAAGGACCTGTCTTCTCACCAAGTGAAGGAGTTTCTGGCCCAAGTGCTTCAGAAGGTACGTACCAGCGCTGCACGGGACGCGGGACGGCGTGGAAACCAGCAGAGAAAGCATTCCTAGAATCCATCCCTTCCTCTGGAAAGTATTTGCTGAATGCCTGCCATGTTTCCTACTGTGCCAACTCGAAAAGCGTCTCAGGAAAGACCGCAGCTTGTCCTGAGGAAGCATGTGGTCTGGTCAAAGGGGACACGGGAGGACTCCGCCGTTAGGGGTGCTAGTGCTGGCGTGTGGAAGGGCCATCCGAGGAGGAGCGTGGGAGGCAGTGGCCGCAGCCTGGGTGGAGCGCTGAAGCTGGAGCGGCGGGGCTGGGTCAGTGGCTGGGGACCCAGCACACACAGCCTGGGGCGCCTCCAGCACCCAGCTGGGAACTTCAGGCTCCATTCTGGCTAGCGGGAACAGGTTTGCACATTTCTGCTGGGAGTCCTTTGCTGGCCCGGTGGGCTGCGGACACTGGTCTGCTGACGTCACAGTTGTGAGGAGCCCGGGGCTAACATGGGAGGGAGCCCAGGGCCCATGACTGGTTGGGTTTGGGGCGCGTGAGATGGGGCCAGGCCCGTCTGAAGGGGTGACTGGAAGGCAGGAGGTGGGTGGGAGAGGGGGAGGTGGATGGAGAGGGGGGTGGTGGCGTGCCCAGCTACAGGAGAGGCTCTCTGGCCCAAGGGCGCGGAAGGGGGGAGTTTCCTGGGGGTTGATGTTGAGAGAGGACAGGGTTGCTGGCGAGAGAGGCTCGGCCTTCAGGGCCCGTCAGAGCCTCTGGCTACCACAGGATGCATGGATCTGCAGCACGGGGGCGGGGGCTGGCCGAGTTGGGGAGGCCAGGCGCTTCAGAGGTGCGTGAGGACGCGTGTCCTTGAGGCGTCGCGAGACCCGGACGGGGTGAGATGCCGGAGCTGCAGGGGGCTGCATCCCTCCAGGGTGGCCGGTCCAGGGCGGGCCTGCTGTCTGGGCGGGGCCGCCCACCTTCCGGCCTGTCCTCCCTGCCGCGGGAGCCGAGGGGCGCAGGAGGCCTGGGAGCCTGCGGGGGTGTGGAAGTGTGCGCTCATGGGGTCAGCGTGGGGCCCCGGGCAGGGGTTCTCACTGCTCAGGGGCTCTGGGTGCAGATGTGGAGGACCACCATGCTGTGCGGACTCGGTCACTTCGTGGGGCTTTCGGGGAAGCACAAGGGTGCGGTCCACGAGAAAAAGCAGAGGGCTCGTGATGACACGCGATGACACACGTGGGTCAGGGGTGACTCGGGGGCCCCGAAGGGTCGCGCCAGCCGTTGCTCCTGCGGAGCATTGAGGAGAGTCCCACATGCGCCCAGGCAGCCCTGTGCTCCCGGGAGATGCCCTGAGCCTGGAGCTGGCGGGCCCTTCACGTCTGTGTGCCGGGATTTTCATCCTGCGCGTTTGAACGAGTTGGGATTCCCGGCCAGCTGGGGCTCCTCCCCCGCCTCCCCCAGGGCCATCCTTGACCCCTGCCTCTTGTCTGCCCTCTAGGCGCCCCTCCCGCTGGGGCACGTGAAGCGGATGCAGGAGGTCTATGACTTCAACGCTGTCAACAACTCCGAAATTCGGTTCAGGTGCGTCGGGGGCGTCGGGGCAGCGGGTGGCCACGCGTCTCCAGGGAATGGGGCTGGGGGTGGGGATGGTGTGTCTCCAGGGAGCCGGTGGGGGTTGGGAGGCAATCCCTGTTCTCCAGGACCCCGTCCGCCCGCCCCCGCTCCTCTGGGTGCCTTTCAGGTGGAGTCGAGCTGTGAGGTGACAGGCACCATTCTGTGACCTTTGTTCTAAGCATCTCTTGTCCCAGAGCAAAGCGAGCATGCTGGCTGGGTGAGCAGGCGTTCTCGCCACCAGCCAGGGGCTCCAGTGGGGACAGTGGGAGCCGCGGGCTCAGTGGGGCGCTCATCCATAGCGCGGGTGTGTTGCCTGCCTGCAGCAACGCCGGGCTCCCCGGGGACCTGCATCTTCGCGGCCCCCTGCAGCGTCTGGCCTCCGGGACCAGCGGCCCTTCCTTGCCGAGTCGCGTCCTGGCGCGTGTGGTGCGGCGGCGGGCCCAGGCCCCTCGGCTCCCGCACACACCCCGTCCCACCGCATCTCCAGGTGGCTGCGGCTCTGCATCCAGTCCGGGTGGGAGGACGCTGTTCCCCTGGCCCTGGCGATGGCCACGCAGCAGGGGCGGATGAAGTTCACGCGGCCCTTGTTCAGGTAGGAGCCCGCCGCGGCCGGGGTCCCCATGGAGCCGGGCACGTGTTCTGCGGCGCTTCTGGGGCCGTGAGAATACTCGGGGAAGCGTAACCCGCGTGACTGACGCTTTTAGTTTGTGAAAGTTCACACGTAGAACTTTGAGTAGAAATTCCGCTTGGAGCTATGTACAACTCGAGATGATTTCACGAGGGTTTTAGGAAGCACTCTCTATATGGCCGGCCTGCTGTGGCCGCAGGGGTTAGGCACTGATGAGACGGAGCCGAGGCAAAGACAGCGTCACACAGGCTTCCCAGAGGCAGGTCAGAGGCGGTGTGGGCGGGAGACAGAGGCCGCGGCCCACGCAGGAGGGGGGGCGGGCGCCAAGCGGGAGGTGGGCTGCGAGCCGCCCAGGGAGGCGTGATGGATGCTAAACGGGGTGGCCTGGCGAGGGCTCGACGTGGAGGCGTGTCCCTCAAGGCCTTGGCGGTGGCTTGGCCCGAACCCTGGAAAGTCCTGGTATAGGGATCTGTGATTACTGTTTGCTTTTCTTTTTTTTTTTTTTTTTTTTTTGG